GATTCGATATTTATTGTAAGGCAAGTTCAAGAAAGATTTTTGAAAATGAAAAAGATTTGTGAAAAGCATTTATGGACCTTTAGAAAGCTTTTGACAAACTACTAAGAGAAGTATTCTATGCAGGTGATATATGCTTGACTGCAGAGAAGAAGAATCAATACTAAAATTTTAGTGTTAGAAAGATGGAATGGAAGCAAAAGGGCTTAAACATGAATAAAACAAAGATTATGGATTTCAAAGTTAAAAGTAAGCAAATAGACTTAGAAGTGGCTATGTTGTGCTCTAAATATGGTAGTGTGTGAGAAAAAATTACGCATTTAAAGCAGAAAAAGATAGAGATAGGAAAACTTGGTAAGAGAGTGTTATATAAGAACATGAAAAAGCTTTTGTTTGGGAAAGAAGATGCTTAATTCTTTATTGAAGAAACAACATGAGCAATTTCTAGCCAGTGCAAGCACAAAAACAAAGACACTAAAATAATGGTGATGATGGTTAACAGACTTTTAATGAGTAACACATGAAGCTCGTAGAGTTATGAATTATATAATAAACTGTATTATATTGCTTTTTGATTTGATATTTAAATAAAAAATAACCAACAGCTTTCTATACCACAAACAGTACATGCCACATATACCACAACATTTTGTTTATGTTATTGCTTAAAATAATTTTTTTTTATTTTGCTTATAAAGTGTATTTTGCTTATAAAGTGTATTTTTATTGAAATAAAAAATAATTATATAATAAGCACAATTATAAAATAAACACAGTAACAATTAACATAATAATCAGTTTACTTATATTTTAAAATCATTGTTTTAAATTCATTATAATGTTAAGATTGTTATATTAATTCTGAAATGACTGCAGGGCAAAGTATTTGTGTGCATATTGTGTTTTGCCAGTTTATAACATTTTTTTTGTCAGCATCAGAAAATGTTACTAGTAACTCCAAAGGACATAAGAAAGTTAGTTGTTTTGAAGAATGTAGTGCTCAAAAAGTTTCATTTACTGGAAGCTAGACATTGCCTAAAATAATAAAAATAAGATAAGGTTTAATAAAAAATACATGCATAACTTTGATATTAATGCAATCAAAGAAATATAACATTAATTTTTTGACTAGGTTTTCTGAGAAAAATTTAATGAAAAAAACAAACATAATAAATTAAAACTATTTCATTAAGATGAAGTAAATTCTAATAGTAAAACAACAAAGCACAGTTTCACTTAATTAAAAAAAATTTGAAAAATGCAGCCCTATTTTTGGTTGTGTATTTTGGCTCTGTAAAAACCAGATATGCACATACCTAGTTTACGAACATGCTTGTAGTACTTTTTGTTTACGTTATTTAAAAGTCTGTTTTTTTTGTTTTGTGTTTCTTTTAACTAAAGAAATATAAATATATGGCAATATTAAAGTTACAAGTTTTATACAATATTTAAAAGAAACCAAACATTTTGTTGATTTTTTTGATAATTATTTTTTGTTCGTTTCATTATCATCATTATAGTTTTTTTAAGAATTTTTAATGATTTTTTCGTTGATATAAATTATTAGTATAAAAATATATTTTAAAAAAGATGTAAATTTTTTTAATTAAGTTTTATTATTCTTTTGATCATGTTGAAAATTAAAGCTGTTGATTGTTTATCGAGGAGTAATCTTGAAATCATTATTCCAAATTGTGTTATTATATATTCCAATATATATGTGTTATTATATATTTCTATTAAAATAAAGGTGGTAGGCGATTTTCTGAGGGTACATCAGCAGACAGAGAAATTCAACGTACTTTAATGGAGGTACCTTTTTTTATTTTATTTACAGCATTTTTTCTTGCTTCTTGTGTATGTTACCATTATTGTTCATAAACAGCTTAATTAATTAACAGATTAATTTTTGCAGATCACTAAGTTCTCATAGGGTTTTTCCATATCAAGTAAAAAATTGGAGGTTTAATATCTGAAATGTCTTAAACATCTAAAATGAAATTATTAAACCCTGAACTGATGTCATTGGTGACTTTTCAGGTTGGCCTTAATTTGCAGTATAAGATATATCTCTTGATATCATATTGAAATAGCCATCTGCAGGACTTCAATACAGACAGCAACTGAGGGATTGGGTTGGGCAAGTTTAATTTAGAGATAAAGATTTTTGTATTTGTCTGGAAAACTATCTAGATCAAAGTCAGCATTTTAAAACTCTAAAGTCTGCTAAATATATTAGGACAGTGCACACCTAAGTTAGTGAAGATAACATATAAACATATATAAAGGGTATTTTTTTGTTATACTTTAACTGTTTTTTTGTCTTTTTTTTTTTTTTAAATAGTAACATTTTATTTAGCTGCTAAATCAAATGGATGGTTTTGATGTTCTTGGAAAGGTAAATGCAATTTTTGCAAAAATGTGACTTTTTGTAATGTAAACATAATTCTTTAAATATTTTAAATTTTTTATTTAAATATTTATTTTTATTTAAATATTTAATTTTTTAAAAAGAATAAATAATGAAAATATTATGATATGAATAATAAAATAAATGATATGAACCAAATAGTTAAATAAAAATAAATGGTTAAAGTAAGAAAAAATAATTATTATATAAAGCAACATACAAAATATGTTTCTAATAAAAGTTGAAATTATTAAATTTTTAATTTAAGTACATTTATTACATAGCAAATGTAGATTTATTACAAAAGTTTGAAATTATGCAAGAAAAAAAAAGGTGCTTATTTAGGAATTTATTTATTTTAGTCTATCTTCTTTTTTTAAAATACTAATGATATTTTAAAATTATATAATGATGAATATTTAAATTAATTTTTTAACATAAAATAAAATAATACTTTTAATATTGTAATAATGTGATGTAGTAGTTAAGTTCTAACTTGAAATCTGGAGGTCTGTAGTTCGAAGCTGGCTCTGGCCATATATGCATCATTAGTAAAGAAGGTGGCATGAACTTCCTAGTTTAGGACTTCTTGGAGCATCTAACATAGATGAGTTTTTTCCGGAAATTCCCGGAATTTCAGAAATTCACTTTTAATTTTCTAGAAATTTCCGGATGTTTTTTGTTATTAATTTGAAAAAAAAAATTTATATATTTTACATAAAATTTTAAATACAACAATTTAAACAAATGTTTTCTATAATTAAAATTTTTATGAGATCAATTTTCGTAACAATTTTTTTACTCCTTTTTTTTTTTGCTTTTTAATTCATTCAAATTAACTTTTTTGAATATTTAGAAATTCCTTTTTGTAAAAAGTTAAATATTCTAAATTCCGTTTAAAAAGTTTACAAAAGTTTTTGTTGTCTGTTACAGGGTTATTCATTCTTATATGCGCATCTTTTCAATTTTATATGCATTTCATTCTTATATGCGTTTTAAAAAAGCAATGAGAACAAAAAATAATCATTTAAGCATTTTGTTTTGAAAAAACAATTTACTTTTTTTAAAACAAATTTTTCTTATTTCCTAGAAAATGAGGTTTAAAATACATGGGCAGATAAAAATGAATAACCCTGTAAAACGATCAGTTTTTTTAGTTAAATAATTTTCCGGGATTTTCATAGAAAAAAGTTTCCATGATTTTTAAAAAGTCAAATACTTGTCTATGATCTAAATAATTAAAAAAAAATGAGAATATTATTTTAATATTTATAATTGCTTTTTTTTTTTTGTTCAGGTTAAAATTATAATGGCAACAAATCGTCCAGATACACTTGATCCAGCTCTTTTACGACCTGGTCGTTTAGATAGAAAAATTCGTAAGGACTCATTTTTTATTTATTAATTGTAAATGAATAAATAATTTTATTCATTACAGCTGAATAGTTAGATTTAATAGTTAGTTTATAATTGTTCACTACAAATTAGGGATTGCAATCCCGCGGATCTGAGCAGATTTTTTAATTTATGTGCGGATCCCGCGCAGGATTGGTTGATTTCTTATGTACATTATAAAAGGCAAAATGACAATTGTATTTTTCTTTCAAGTATTTCAGAAAAAGTATACTCAACTTATTAAATTGATAAGATAAGGTACAGTATTGGACAAAACATTTGCAACCAACATCGAACAATGCTAAAAAGTGTTCCTAATTTTACATGTCCATGACATGAGCAATCAGCTGACAGGTGACAGCACACAGGCAGAATTTCGTTGACAAGTGCCATTTTGCAGTGGACAAACAAGTGCAACTTTTTTGGTTTGTTTCATTTTCTTAAGTCTAGTCTGTGTCAACCTCACAGAAGTTTTTTAATAATTAAAGGAAGTATCCAGAAGCATGCAGAAGTTTCTAGAAGAAGCATCTGGATGCATCCAGAAGTATCCAGAAACATTCAGAAGCATCCAGAATCTTCCACAAGCACCGAAAAGAAGCATCTAGAATTTTCCAGAACAGGTTCACACAGGTTCATTTTACTATATAAGAGACATGTAAACAGACATGTAATTCAGTCAGTATATGGAAGTCAATTAGTCAGTATTATCAAGACAGTTTATCGAAGTGAGTTTTATCAAAGTGTTTTATCGAAGAACATCAATACAAGAAGTGAAATACAACAAGTGTTTCATTACATCAATACAGTACACATCCAAGCAAGACATTGTGTTCCACAGCATTATTGTATCATCACAAGGTAAATGTAACACGGTAAGCCTTGAGAAGCGTGATTATTTATTCTTATTATTTTTATGACTTCAAGCGCAAAAATGGCTCCAGGCAGTCTTGGATTGGAACTAAGAAAAAAAATTATTGGTGATTACGTAAGTGGAATGTCACAAAAAAGTATTTGTGATAAATGTTGCGTGAAAAAATGGACCATATCAAGACTATGTTCCAAATATCGTTCTACGGGGAAGTTGGCAGCAGATAACAAAGGTGGAAGACTGCATTCCACTACTTCTAGAGAGGATTCTAATATCGTCAGATCTGTCAAGAAGGATCCCTGGATATCATCAGTCGAGATACAAAAGCAATTAGAGCTGCCAGTATTGAACCGAACAATCAGATGACGCGCTGTTGAAGCCGGATTGTTTTCTTGACACCCTGCAAAGAAACCGGTGATTTCACTAAAGAACCAGAAGAAAAGACTCCTGTTTGCTACATCTCATATTGATTGGAATGTGCAGAAATGACGAACTGTCCTGTTCAGTGATGAATCGAAGTTCAACATCATTGGGAGTGATGGCATTTGCTGTGTACGTCGACTGGCCGGAAAAGCCTCGATTTACGTTACTGCCATAAGACGGTGGAGGCATGGTGGAGGCATGTAATGGTCTGGGGGTGTTTTTCTGCTAACCGTCTAGGTCCAATACATTGAATCGATGGAATAATGGACCATTTCATGTATAAAAATATCCCGAAAGATGTTATGTTAACTCATGCTGAATGGAATATGCCAATAAAATGGGTTTTTCAGCAAGACAACAATCCGAAACACACTGCAAAAGTAGTTTCAAGACAACCAATGGTTTCAAGACAACCACCTATCGGTGATGGATTGGCCGCCTCAATCTCCGGATCTCAACCCTATTGAGAACCTGTGGGAGATCGTCAACCACAGAATTATTCGTGAAGGTGTTCGTAATAAGGATCAACTGTTTGAACAAATCCAAAAGGCTTGGGCAGCAATTCCACCAAGTTTCATTGATCACCTGATCGAATCTATGCCTCTAAGATGCAAGGCTGTGATCAACAACAAAAAATTCGCCACAAAATATTGATAGCGAAATACAGTTTGGTAAACATTTTGTGGAGTTACACTTGTTTTGTCCAGAAGGAAATCAACTTTTTTTTAATACTTTTGATTAATTTATTAATTTTTGTGTACAAATAATAAACTTTGTGATAAATAAAACTAAAAATAAAGAACGTTGTCTCTAAACAGTTACATAGTTATTTTTCTAAATTGAAAAAATGCAGCACTTTTATATAAAGCAACTAAATTAGCATTATTTGGTTGCACTTGTTTTGTCCGATACTGTAAATGAAACCAAAAACACAACTCGTTTGTAAATCAATATAATTCTTAACATTTAATAAACAAAAAGATAAGATAAAAATACATAAAACGTCTTTTAGCTTTACTTATTTTTGAAAATCATTGTAAGAAATGTGCTCTTATGTAACAGACCCTACTTAAAGTATCATCACATAATCTACTCCTCAAAGGACTGCATATATAGCCAGCAGCTGAAAAAAGCTCGCTTGGGCTCTATGCTTGTTGATGATATGGTCATCAAGTAATTATGAGCTATATCTAGAAACTTGCCTCTTACTCCATTACTTTCATAGGCAGACATTTCCGGCTTCAATAATTTATCAGTCTAAAGAATCTAAATTTGGTATCTCCTTTACATTTTCTGTTCAGCTTTTCTTGTCATTCTGTATATGGTTTTCCGATTCTTTTTTCAGCGATTTGTAGGAGTTAGTATAGAATCTACAGTTTCTTTTTCTTCGAGTTTTTTTTCTTCGTCTTTATTTCTTTTAATTGTATAAACTCTTATCAATATTTTTTTTTATCTCTTGACGCATAATGGTTCTCTTTGGCATTGAAAAAGTATTTTTATTTTTTTTTAATTTCTTGCTCATTTTTTTAAGATTTTGTAAGTAAACCAATAGTCCATTTAAGTTCTTATAACGACGTTGTGTAAACCTCTCACGAAGTGCCGCGGCTAAATCAATGCTCAAAAGTGATGATTGCTATTGTAATTTATCTAACTTAAATTGAAAGGTTGTTTCCGCAGTGACAAGGTTTGATTCTCTTCTGCATAATAGTTTGAGACCAAGTTTTGGTGGTGCCAGGCAAATAATTAAGTCATTGATTTGGGATCATTCTTCTTGGGTGAAACAAATTTCTGACCCAACATCAATTAAGGCTTTTTGAATACGCACTTTTAGTCTATGAAATCTTTCTAACATATTAAACATACTGTTCCACCTAGTTTTACAATCAAGAATCAACTTAAGCTTTTTGCCGTGTTCATGTAGAATATAATTCAGTAAATAAGTATAATTTTTGACAGGAGAGTTTTTAAATATTTTCACAACCTTTCTCACTTTTTTCATGAGATCTTTGTAATTGCTAACTAATTCAGTAGATGGTTGGACCAAAATTATTGTCAAACCATATTCTTTATATAACTTCATCATCATCAGTGTTCTCATGTGCATCTTCTTCGCAATTTTCATTTGTAGTTAACTATTCTTCGAATTCTCCGCTGTTTTTCTTGTATAAGATATCAATAACTGCAAGTTGTATTCCATGAGCACAATATAGTTGATGATAGCGAGACATCATTTTACAGACTTTTAACATCACACTTGCTCCATCAGTGGTCATGGCAATAATGTCTTTTTAGAGGTCGATATCGAAGCTATTTAGCCTTCCTGCAACTAACTTGACCCAATTTTTTACATTAAACGATCCGTGGATTAGAATCAATCCAAGATTAAAGTGTTTCGCCTCCTTTTGTACATTTAAGTTAAGGTATCTCTGACTATTTTGTGATATCCATTTGTCAAACCTTATTGAAAACTTTTGATTTTGCTTTTTTAGTAATATAAGTTTTTGCATTATATTGGCTTTTACAGAATCTGAGAATTTTACTACAATCTTATAGTATTAGGTGAAGTAGGGAGCCGGGAACCACTCTTTGAAAATAAATATCGCAAATCTGAAGATGTGCAAAAACTATTAAATATAAAGCCATCTTTAGCAACCATGCACGATACCATTTTTTCCATAGAAACTTCTTTTACGAAAAACGTGTCTATTGTTCTGACCTTTTTCGATAGAGTTACTTCTTCATCTTTGCAGTCGATGTATATTTTAGACTCTAGTTCAACTGATTCATGCTGTTTTGAAGTTAAAGCTCCGTTTTGTTGTAAAATGTTTGATTTTAAATTGGTGCCATGTTTAGTTTTTAAATGGATTAATAACTCTTTTGTTGATCTTTGACTAATTTTTAAAATAACCGAACATAACATTCTACTTTATCACTTTTTTTAAAATAATTCCATATAGTTTTAATTTGCGACATGCTTAGTAGGTACTTTTGTTTTAAAATCTTGATGTAAATAATTTTTGAAGTCTTTTTAAAAGGTAGTGCGTTATATTTTTTTATTATTACCCACTCACGTTTTCAATTTCACGTTTTCTACATACTCATCAACAAAAATTTCAACATACTCATCAACAAAAATTTCAACATACTCATTAGCAAAAATATACCATAATCATTAACAAAACAAACAAACAAACTCAGCAAATCCTACATATTTGTTATGGGTATAAGTGATAATATATAAAGCATAAATTATATTTGTAACTTTTTATAAATATTTTATGTAAAGACATTATTATTATGGATATAAGTAATGACATAAATTATATTTGTAACTTTAATAAAAAAATGTTTTGAGCATAAATTGAAATTGAAAATCAAGATAACTTTGTTTGGTGGAAATAAAATGTAGAACGTCTTTTTTTGAGGAAATTTTGGAGTGAAATGAGTTTTTTAAAGTTATTTATGAAGTGAAATGGAAATTTATATTATAAATAATAGAGAAAGTATTTAAAAATGGAGTTTTGCAGCATTTAATGTCTCATAATATTATTTCTTGATTTTGCTAAAGTGTTTGAGGAACTTTCTATCACAAATCTAAAACCTGAATCCAATAGAATTATTGTATAGCAATTTTTTTTTTTTATTGATTTATAATATTAAATTTTTTATTTCATCTCCTAATCTCTAATCTATTTGTCTTCACTTCGGTTTTAATTTCCTTGTTTAGCTAGTGTTGCTGCAGATCTGTCTAAATTATTTGGTCCCTGAATATCTGGCGACGAATTTTTTATTTGATCATTAATTTTATCTGTAGCATAATTGCTTATAAAAATGAAATAGTGGTAGTTATGTAAAAGCTTTTTAACTATAATGCTTGTAAATCACCATAAATTATTTGAACAATCAAATTAACAAGACGCAAATAAAGTATTGTGTCTTGTTAATTTGCTTCTAACAAATCTACACAGACTGTCATTTACTTTTGTATATTGTTAGTAATTAATTGTGTATTGTTAGCAAGCAAATGTGTATTGTTAGCAAACAATTGTGTATTGTTAGCAAACTATTATATTGGATATAACAAGGTTTAACTAGTTGTTTTTATGCTTTTAATTTATTTATTTTTTTAGTTTTGTTGAGCACTTTTTTATAACTTAACGATATTTTCTTGTATTGAGTAAATTTCCAATTTTTTCTTATAAAAGATATCGATCTTCCAAACGAACAAGGTAGAATGGATATCTTAAAAATTCATGCTAACCCTATAACAAAACACGGGGAAATCGGTGAGATATGTCTTTTTATATAAATTTTCTTTTTCTTTTTAGTGTGCTACAAAATGTTAACATTTTTTTTTGTTTGCAGATTATGAGGCAGTGGTAAAGCTGTCTGATGGATTTAACGGTGCCGATTTGAGAAACGTTTGTACAGAAGCAGGTTTGCAAAAAAATCATTCTTTATTTTGTATCATCGTGTATCTTTTTACACCGTGTTCAAGTAGTTGATTTTTTTTTTCTTCAGGTATGTTTGCTATACGTGCTGAGCGTGATTACGTTGTTCAAGAAGATTTTATGAAAGCAGTACGAAAAATTAGCGATAACAAAAAACTGGAGACAAAGTTGGATTATAAACCTGTATAACCAATCTGCACTGCAAATTATGCACTGTTTATGTTCAATACGGATTTTAGATTGTTTGCCATAAGTTTATTACGAAATAGAAAACTCTAAATTTACTTTTAACTTGGTCATTATTTGTTACTTATTCATAATACATCATCATACATCAAAGACTAAAATTTTATAAAGTTTGGAAGTCAAAAAAAAGCAAGGGTATTCATAATATACATAAATATTGAACCTTAACTTAAGAATCATTAAAGTTAAGCAAGTATCATTTCTATTTTTTATTTTCTATCAAGTATTATTTCTATTTTTAAGCCAGGTATCGTTTTTTCGGCACCCTTGTCCTATTCTTGGTTTTTATGTAGATATTTAACGAATAATCATTTAATCTTTATTAGATTTGTGTAAACTAATTGTTTAAATAGTAATGGTCAAGCGTATTTCTGGATAATTGAAGACCTCGGGGCAAAGCGATATACTTGATCAGCTACCATAATTATTACAGTGCATCATCTTCAACAATGTTTCTATGGTGCAGCATTATGAGTAAATGCAAAAATTTTTTTGTTAATTAATTTTTTAACTTAAGTCTTTTTTATGTTACTAAATACTAAGTCTAAAAAACTGGTATCCTCGGTTTATATTTATGTTAAACATGACGACAATTAAAAGTTCTAAGAGTCACAAAACAAAATTAAAAAAGCTTACAAAATCATGTCAAGCGATGAATTATTAAAATTAGGTAATGCTATCCATTTAATGAAAATATATTAAAGGTCCTTGTTAAATTGAACTCTTTACAGATTTTATACATAAGTACAAAGTTAATTTACTATCAAATGTTTTTCCCGATATTTTTTCGTTTAAATTTTCTCAAAATTATAATCTTCAGTCAAATACTAGCCGAGAGTATTTAGATTAGAAAAATTTTAAAATGTCAAATTTTTCTATAATGATTCAAGGTCCATTATTATAGAATCAAATAAAAAATACAAGTATAAAAGACTTTAAAAACAAGTTCTCGTTTAAACGGCAAACAAAATTGTATCTTCAAATTTTTTTGTTTTGTTTTTTTATGTTGTTTCATGTTTTATGTTATTTTTAATGTTCTATTTTTAATTATGTTTATATAAATTTTGTTACTTAAAAAATATATACATATATATTTAAAATCCTGTTATATTAAAAAACAACATGTGTTATATTAGATTTAGTTTTTAAAAAAAAGTTGTCGAAGGTACTCTTTGAAAAGGTTAAGTTGATATTCTTATCATCCATGACACCTTTGAGTCGATTTCTGTTTATATTATTCTGTTATATTATTTAAACCGAGAACCTTAGGCTTGTATTTTTCAATATAGTTGTATGAAGCTTTTTGTTAAAGTTTATTATATTATATAATCAGGAAAAAAAAAATAAAAAAAGACCAACTTTCTGTAGGAATCAGACAGAGCTCAAATGCAACCTTCAAAACTGCTTTTTTTTTTTTTTTATTTTAGTATGTTGATGCTATTTATTCTAGAAGGGGCCATCCATAAAGGAAGTCACCATTCAGCAGGACCCCTCCCCCCTCATTATGGCACCGGTTGTCCTTTTTCCATATACCCCCCTGTAAAAGGACGTTATAAAATCCTGACCCCCTCCCTATTTTTAACTCCAAAAAAATTTATTTCATCTTGCAATGATATTTGATGATGTTTTGCTGCTACACCTTTGAAAAATAAAATTAAAACTATTCTCATACATTATCTTCTCAAAAACACATGTTTACGTAGTTTTCCATGTTAATTAAACTAAAATTTTAAAGGTCCTTTTCTGACAAGCTCCTCTCCTCCCCTTGTCCTTTTTTGTCCTTTTTAACTCGACCCTCGACCCCCTCCCCCTCCTCCTATTTGGATGACGTCCTTTATGGATGGCCCCAAGGTAAATTCCGAAAAAGTATTTCAAAAACATTTATAGGTTTTCTAGATATTGGATTTTAAAATATGATTAAATTTTTAGAAACATTGACAAATTTAGTCGAGATCATTTTAAAACTTGAAAATAAAATAAAGTATATACTTTTCAATTTATATTTCACTTGATTATTATTTACTAGTTAAAAACTAAAATTGATAAAATAGGCGTAAAATTTTTTTTGTCATTTTTTGTGGTTATTAAGGTGCTCTCAGCACGGTACTCGGTTGTACCACGGAACAACACAACAGTTGTTCTGTAGAAAATAAACCTCTATACTTTCTCGTGATTATTTCATTTCATTATTATATATTAGCTAGTTAAGAGCTAAAAAAGAATAGAATATATTCTTTTTTAGGTCTCATTTTTATCAAAAATGAGACCTAAAAAAATGAGTTTTTTGACGATCAGAAATGCGAATATATTCATACAGTCACATTTTTGATCGTCGAAAAACAGACTAAGAAAAATGTAGCAAACGAGTTTAATAAATAGTTTAAAGAAATAAAGGAATAGTTTCGCAAATAAATTTAATGTGATCTAAGAAAAAAGTCCAATATCTAGAAAAGCAAAAAATATTTTTTGAAAAAAATGTTTTTATTGACCAAGTCTAGTAGATGTAGCAACAACATATTCAAAAAAAATTAGTTTTAAAAAAAATATCGCGTGCTTTTCTGTAGAAAAAAATTCCAGATATTGTTAAAAAAAAGACTACATCATAGCAAAGAATCAAAACAATTATTATTGCTCATAGATCTCAATATATCCGACAAACTACACACAAAAACTGTTGCTCAGTAATGATGTTAACTATGACAAAGGCCTAAATTTTTTATTCAAAAATATTTGTTTATATATTTTATAAAGTTTTTGACAATTGTAAGAATTTTAGCTTTCAATTGCTAAATTGCTAAGCAATTGAGCTTTGTCTGATTCTTACAGAAGTTATCGATAAAAAAGAAATTGTCTATATTAAATAAATGTTGCTTTTTTTCTTACTATTACAATATTCCATAGGTACCTTTTATAAACATGGTAGATAAAACATCAATGCCCATTTTTGTAAATAAACTTATACTGTAAACCCATGGCTAAAACCATGGGTTTGCAGTAAACCATGGGCTTATAACAAAAGTTTAAATGAAAATAAAACAAGTTTAAATGAAAATAAATTCAGTAAAATCTTCAAGTGAAAATGATCAAAAATGACAAAAAATTAATTTTTGCTTTCGAAGCAAAATATTTAGACATGCCAATAAAATATTTTTAATGAATAAAACTTCTAGTGTAAATAGTAACAACATATTAAAAAAAAAACACAATTTTAGAAGATGTCTCTATTAAAGTTTGTACTTTTGTCTAATTCTTATAGAAAGTTGTTCTTAGTTGATTGTATCTAACGTTGAAGTATTAATATAACTTCATTTAAATCATATTTCTTGTTTCCAACCAGCTTTGCAGAAACAAATGATATTTATTAGTGAATCGTGATTTATTTTATAATGCCTCCACTGTATTTTAAAAAAAATAATTACCTCTAATTTTGATACACTTTTGCTAACTACTTTGTTTTTTCATATCTTGGTTATTCATCAGTATTTATAATTAAGAATGGTTTGTTAACTTTCAAATGCAAGAAGATGACTAGTTCTTAGTCGTGATGTTGCTTCTCTTTCTCTTTTCTATAAATATAGCTCTCAAGAGGTAGCTTCTCTTGTGCCACCTACTAAAATTCATTTATGTGTTACTTGTCATTCAATTAAGTCTCATTCTTTTATTGTGACTGTTCCTAAGTACTCCAAAAATCTGTCTAGTTTTTTTTCACAAGCTTCTCTTGTGCCACCTACTAAAATTCATTTATGTGTTACTTGTCATTCAATTAAGTCTCATTCTTTTATTGTGACTGTTCCTAAGTACTCCAAAAATTTGTCTAGTTTTTTTTCTGGAATATCAGCTCTTTGGAATTTGCCCCCATCCTCTTGTTTTCCCAATGCTGGGAAGATGTAATCTGCAACCTTTCAAGCCGTCTTATAATCGCTATTTTGCTTTATAAACTTCATAATTTCTTTTCCAGTAACTTTCAAATCTAATAGTTGCTTGCAGCCTTGTTAAAAGCGACGATGTTTGTTTGTTGTTGTTTTTTTTAGGCTGGCATTTAAATTTCTGGTTGATATTGTTTGAGAATAAATAAGTTTGTTTGTTTGAGAATTTCTGAAGTTTTTTGTTTGAAAATTGTTCGAGTTTTAATAAGTTTATTGTTCAAAGGAAAAACTTTTTCTTTTTCTTTCTTTCTTTTTTTTTTCTTTTGTTATTAATTAAAATATTTTTACAGTCAAAACAATTTAAATTTTTTTCTACAAATTTTTAAAAAGTATTTTTAGAAAACACATTTTTCCTTTTGAAACTCCCATTACTTCCAAAAATAAACAGCTTGAGCAAAACCAGAAAAAGCAAACGAATTGGTAATAAACAAGTTAAACAAGTTATTCGAATTTTTTTTTTTTTTAATGTTCTATTATCTTTTATAAATTGGAATCGTCTTTTAAAAATTACAAACGGTAATAAAGCATATGATATATTTCTAACAAGTTTATAGCAAAGTTATAAAATTTGTTAAAACAAAAATATAGGAATCCTCTATAAGTCAAGAAATTATTTGAACAAAACCATTTTAATCCAACTTTATTACTTATTTATACATAGTTATATTAACTATGCAAATATTGCTTAGGGAAGTACAAGCAAAAGTAAGTTGCGTACTCTATATCATCGTCAGAAACACGCAATACGCTTAGTTTGTTTTGAAAATTGACTGACGCATTTAAAGTTTTTATTTAAAAATATTAAAGTACTTGATATTAATGAAGTGAATTTATGTTTCAATGTAAAATCAATCCGTCATTACACATTTTTAAAGATTTTATTATCTTAAAAACAAAAAATAAGTATACTCAATCAGTTCTGTATCGCTTATCGTGCACCTCTGGAACTTCTTGAAACCTTCTGTATCGCTTATCGTGAATCTCTGGAACAAAATCGTTTTACCTAATTTTGATTTATTAATTATCTTCTCAGTCTTTAAAAAGAAATTAAAAGAATTCATTTTTTTTTAATGAGAATATTTGATTGAATATTTTATGAAATACTTTTAAAA